CAATAACTGTTCACACACTTCGAGGCATTCATGAAATGTTGTTAAAAGCCCCCTCCCATGATGCATAGCAGCTCCTCTGGAAGCCACAGGTTTGCCGCCAGCTTTTAAAAGAAAATTAGAGGAGTTTGGCTTTTTACAATTATATGAAAGCAATAAAGCGAACGGCCCAGAAGGGGCTGAGGAATTCATGAGTCAGTGAGGAGAGATAGAAAGAGTGAAAGAGAGTGCCATTCACCTACTGTAGATCAGACATTCTGCTAAACATCTCAAATAAAAGAAAGAACATTGGTTATTTATACACAATATTTAGGTATTTTACATTGCATACACCAATTGCAAAGATACAAACTAAAATTAGCATAGTGTTTTTCAGTGTTGCGTTTACTTTTTTGAACTGCAAACTGAGCACTTCTTTAGGACTCTTGTGATAAAGAAGTGTGCCTGTTACAGTACAGCATCCAAAAACGGTACATGCTGATAATATGAATGAAATAAAAGGCCACTTAAGCGTACTCATAGAGTCCACCATTTTTAAAGGGGCAGTGTAATGTCAAATTAAAAGTTCAACTTTAAAATGCATGTGAATTGATTGCATTTTAATTTTCTTCTATTGTGCTTTAAGAAGAGCACTTACAGTATTTCGATGTTGACTATCACACTAAAGCACATGTGAAGTACTTCATTATAATTTTATTATTCAATACATTAAAAGTGAATCTATTTTAAAAGTACTGAATTACAAAGTCATGACTATAAATTTGTAATTACATATATTTTTAAAATGCATGACATACAATTTCAACATTAACATTAAAGTATATTTCAGTTTACGATAAACACACAAAGACAATTGATGACTTGTAAAATTAATTTCAGCTAATTAAATTTAATATGAATTTTAAAGTTGTAGTTACAAGTGTCTGAAAACATTACTTTTAGTTCACACTTATATATTATTTTACTCAAAAGTATGCTGTTAATGTATACCTCTTTTAATTTGAAATGAAATGCGTGTTTTATGTTCTGATCTAAGTGGCTTCAACGAGCCCTCTCACACGCTGACGGAAAGGCCGTCCTGCATACCACAAATCACACGAGCCCCATGGGGTCAGAATTATCTTGTGACCTTAAGTATGGGTCGGATGTGATTGAGGACGACGAGCCATCGATCAGAGAATTCAGGAGTCATTTAGCTGAAGTAATAATGGTTCATTTCTCATCCTTGTGTTACCGCACAATACTGTCTGAGTGCCTGTTATTGGTTAATGACACCCCTGAGACTCTTCCATCCTTCCAGCAGATTAAAGTGTTTGTGTGTGTGTGTCAGTGGCTCTATTGAAGTGTGTGTCTACTTAACACCGGCTCTGTTTGGAATGCAGCATAGCTTAGTGCATATACTGCGCAGTACATACTGCATATATCCACAATCATATAAATTAAAGAAAAAAAACTTTTCCCGCCAGTGTTTTTTTTTTTTTTAATTGCCAGCGGCAGCATTATTGATCATTTTCACAAAACTTTCATGGCCCCCCCAGAATATGTTGCTGTATAAATATCTGAAAATACAATATATCAAAAGTATGAACAGCCTCTAGCTACATTTTATTGTAGCTTCACGCGTTCTTACTTATCAACACTTGAATGTGGGTACGTTTCATTAAAAAAACCAACGTTTTGAACAGAAAGCTGAGAAAATTGCATATTTGGGAGATACACTCTTAGAAAAAAAGGGTTCATTGGGGTTCTATATATGAAACATGGGTTCTTTCCTCAACTCCAAAGAACCTTTTATGCTAAAAAAGGTTCTATAATGACAAGAAAGAACCCTTTTGGCACAAAGGTTCTTTATAGGCTATTATTCATTCATATATTACATTAGTCAAAATGTAAACTTGAATTATTGTTTATTAAACTTTTGTAGTAACTTATTATCACAATTTAATCATGCTGATTTTTGAAGGAGAAAAACTGAAATGGCACTCTTCGTGTGATATTGATTAACTACATAAAATAATATAAATATATACATTTTCTAAGCCCCATATCTTGAATTTTGTGATCATTCGCATGCATTCATAAATACATTTTAGGGTCTTGATGTTTGTCAATAATATGAAATATTTAATCCGAAAAGGACAAAAAAAAAAAAAAAAAAAAAAAAAAAAGAATTGAATGAACCCAAAAGTTTCCATATAGAACCTTTTTCCTGGTTACAAAGAACCCTAAAGGTTTTTTATTATTGAACCCTTAAAAAGGCTTCTGTATAGAACATTTTAGGGGTTCCAAATACGTAGTGCTGAAAGAACCTTTTAAGGTTATATATAGAACATTTTCTTCTAAGAGTGTAGAGTAGATAGAGTCCATCAAAACATTTTATTCGGTAACGGTAGGCAGTTTTAAATTATATGCAGTTTAATGTTTGCCGATCGCGTTAGCTTGCATGCTACTATAGTTGCGTCCCAATTCAGAGGCGGCGTCCTTCGATGGTCACTACGGTCGGACTGAGGGTTGTTTAATGGGACGGTCAAGCCTACGATGTAAGTAACGTTTGCACTACACTTTTTATATTAAAACGTGTTCTGTGTGAATCGGCCCTTTATTCTGACTTTGCAGTATGAATGAAGTGCAAAGAATGACAATTTTTGAATCTATGATATTTTATGTTAACACAAAGTTGGGTTCAAAATAGCCGTTTTTATTTATGCTAACTGAATGCCAATAGCTGAATTAAACATGCAACCTTATCATCAGGTTATGTGACAGCAATGTAGCATACTAATTACAGATGATAAATCACTGCATAATGCACTTAAAAAAAACAGTAAGCAGTATATATTAGTATAATGCATCTTTAAACATTTACGACTAAACTCAAACTAATAAAAAAAGTAGGATATAGTAATTTATTGTGTCCTGGTTATATACTAGAGATTTAGACATGTTTAGTAGGTCATGCATACTGTGCACAATGCACACTGCAAAATTAGCATGAGTAGCATGCCAAAGGAAACATGTTTTCAAAGGGTCAAACATGAACGACTCATTAGGACAATTACTTGCGGTGTTCCTCTGGGACTGAACTGCCGTTGGGTTGTTTTTCTTCTTTAGCCTACATGAACAGGTGAATTTTGAATTGACACTCCATCACCAAACAGAAAATAGAAGTGAATCCTCTAAAGGTCTAATGCCCTGTGGGAATTTGGTTGTATATTATCTCTGATTAATAGTATATATATATATAGACAGAGAGAGAGAGAGAGAGAGAGAGTGAGTTCATGTAAACATAATTTTGTATTTTGTGGAACATTATCATATTACTAGTCTAATCTGAATATGTAATTATGGTGAACATGTTCCGTCTGAATTTGAAAAAATTCCAAAAGGCGGAACACTGTTTGAACTGTAATCAGATCGTGGCTTTATTTCCTGTTCCATTAACTCCTTTGAATCTTTGTGGAATTCCATTATTCAGACAGATTTTGATCTCCTGACCTGATCTGGTGCTCTCCTGATTGACCTCTGCACCTCCTTTCCTACGACTCTGATCCTTTCATTCTTGTCTTCTCATTAGAGCCGGCAGCACACATCACAGCCCATGACCTGAGCGGGTCAGGATTAAACTGTAATGTGGATGTGCATGCAACGATACTACGGTTAGACAAGGATTAGCTCAAGTTAGCACATACACTGATATATTTTAGCTTGAATATCACAGTGTTCTCACAGTAATGGTTGGGGGCAAATCTGTTAAATGATTCATGACGGGGTGGAGCGGTAAAGGCGGGCCGGTGGTAATGAAATCTACTGAGACTCCAGTTGCAAATCTGATCCAAATAAACTGACTGTAAAAAAACAAAACACAAGAAAATAGGAGAATGTTAGATAGCGATGCAAAAAAGAGAAAAGAAAAAAAAAATGTAAGGAACATTTAAAGGCAAGAAAAATTCAAACGTTTAAACCATGCAAAGAATTAACAAAGGTGTATTATGGTATAGTTACACTTAAAAAGCTTTATTAGTCAAACCGACAAAAAATAGAAAATTCAAACCTAAAGTTAGTAAAAAAAAAATAAAATAAAAAAAAAACATTAACACTTAAAATATAAAAAAGAAAGATTAAACTTATTAGTAAAATTTAAAAGCATTATTATTAAAAACTGATTTTTGGAAAATATAATGAAAAGTAATACCTTTATAATAATTAAAAAATTAAAATTAGTAAAAAATCTGTTCTCACAGATTTAACACCTAAAAAAAATTAATACTTAAAATATATAAAAAAGAAAGATTAAACTTATTAGTAAAATTAAAAAGCATAATTATTAAAAACAGATTTTTGGAAAATATAATGATTGAAAAGTAATACCTTTACAATAATTAAAAAATAAAAATTCTCACAATGCTATTAGAAAAAGAAAAAAATATATATTCAGAAATGAATTCCTTTAAAGCATGCACAAATAAAAATCATTTTAAAATCATAAAATAAAATAATAAAGTAAAATAATGAAAGCTCTTAAAAAATTGGTTAGTAAAATAAAATAAAAATTGTCTTAACAAAAACAAACAATAAAAAAACTAGAAAATGAATACCCCTGAAACGTATGGAAAAAAAGAAGAAGAAATAGAGAAAAAAAAATATTAGTAATGATATAAAAAAAAAAACAGAGCTCCTGAAATAATTCAGAATGAAGCTGCAATAATCAAGTGTTTTGTGTGTGTATTTAAAGTGGTTGAGTGGCAGGCTCGAGTACATTCCCCAGTTGATTTAGTGTAGTTAAGATCAGATGGAATGTGTCAAAGCCAAAAGCTCTAGTTTAATCTCGCTGGCCTCCCCTTCCTCTGACAACACAAGCTGACATCTGACTGGCAGTGGGAGTAAAAGAGATCCGGGGTGAACGAGAGTCAAACCGACAGGAAGAATGATAAGGTGATCTACAAAACATCAAAGGAGGACTCCGAGAGACGAACAGATGCATTAAAAAGCGACGAGACATTTAATGGTGTTCAGAAGCTTTTCTTTATTGGCCCGAAGATTAGAGTCACAGAATGTGTGTAAAAGTTGGTGTGTGTTTTATTCAGTAAAAACCGAGAAACAAAGCATGCAATCAACAATCGCTCCTTTCAAATTCATTCAAATAAACTCCAACTCATCTAATAAACTACGGTATACAAAAAAAAAAAAAAAAAAAACTTTTCCATAAGTGACTACAAACGAACAATGGCTGTCTGTCTCTAAACCTAAAGCATTTTGGAGTGTCAGTTGAATTATACATGTAAATGTTTTGAACACAGACACACACACACACAACGATGGCCAAAAAGCTGTTGTAGGCAGATATTAAGAACCAACTTTATAATTTCTGTTAGTTTTTAGAACACATCCATTAGTAATTCACAGTAAACTGAATCATGTCACACTTCACCCCAGCATTTAAATATATTTTTTCATAATTTTTAAACCTATTTTTAAACAAAATGTTGTTGTTTCATTTTTTTTTTGACAATTGTGTACATTTCTCCCCATGTTCTCAATACTGTACAACAAACCAGTCAAATTCCGAATGAAATTAATTTGAATTATTCTCAAGTTCATATTTTTAATTTACTGTTTTACAGTTAAAATATATAAATGTTTTTATTTTTTATTTTGTATAAATCAGCCTAAAATACGCATCATATATATATATATATATATGAAGCATATTTCATATATGAATATATCTGCATGTGTGTAAGTTTTTTTTCTGGTGTGTGTGTGTGTGTGTGTGTGTTAGATAGTGGGATGGTAATGAAATACGACCTGGACATGTTCTTGACAGGTTTTGGGAGATTCACCCAAACATGTCATGGCTTCGGGATGTGAGAGCATGTGTGTGTGGATGTGCATATGTGTGTAATACAATAGCATTTTGAAGAAAAAAAAAGAAGAAAAGCAAAGCAACAGCATACAGATTCAACACATTAAGACTTGAGCAAGACTCCCATGAAAACCCCTTTTATAGCTGTTCTATATTAAAACTTGCGTCTTAAAATGTAACAAACCCCTTCCCATTAATTCCAACAGCAAAAGTAGGGTGGTTGGAAAAGCCAAGAAAAGAAATGTCACTATAGAACAGCAAAAACGCGAATACACAGATTCGCATCTAAGGGTCAGAGCTCTCGAACAAGAATGCAAAATGACCCATGCGGGGTTAAACAGCGCTCTAAACACACAGCTAAAAGGCAAAAGCTAAAACAACACTCGTTCCTCTATGTAAACATGTTCTTATACTTGTGCCATCTGTAATGTTACCTTCCTCTTCAGTGCTGAATGGCAAGTGTACAACATGCATCTCTGGTCTGACTCTGCATGCATCACATAGGACATTTACACATGCCACATGAAGATATTTCATTCCAGTCTGTTTGGGCACATTGTTTCCTCTCCTAATCTGCTGAAATAAAGCTCTGTGACAGCATAGGTCAATTCAAAGTGCACGTAAGAAAAAGAAAATTACATAAAGGAAAAAAGCAGAAAGGTGGAGCACTTGTGCTTCTTGCAAAAAGAAAGAATGCTTGGCTGCATAAAAGAAGCTGTTTTTTATTAGTTGCCACAGAACAACTTAACTATAGTTAAGCTAACGATTTAAGCAAAACCGATGAAGTACCACACATTATTTTATGCAACCAGGCACCCAAGTAAGCTGACGGAGGTCTGTAACCTGTGTCAGACAGACGGTTGGGGTTAGACTGTGAGAGAAATGAAGCTGTTATATCTCTGAATGTTCCTCTTGAGGATCTCAGAGCAGGGCCCGAGGACACGCTCAAAACGTGGCCGGTCCAGCTTCACACACTTGAGCGGACCCCTGGCCACGACTGTGGCTGCACGGGGTCTGTTCAGCAGCAGGGCTATCTCACCTGCACAAATACAACACACACACGTTAGCTTAATGACTGGATTTAAAACTGATAAATCAATTTTGATTTTTATATACTCTGACACTCAAAACTCACTCAAAATTAACTGATACTAGGTTGTCAAAATAATTCACATATGTATTTCGCCATCAGGTCTGGTGTCCCACAGGGGTCTGTTTTGGTACCGCTTACATTTACATTTACATCAACAGCTATTCAGTACTTAGCAACCTGATCCTTCCTAATGAACTAATGTGTGAACTATGCCGCCACACTGAGGTTAGCCGATTACAACAAAAGGGCATTTACATTCTGTATTGCAGTCTTAAAGGGATACTCCACTTTTTTTTGGAAACGGGCTCATTTTACAACTCCCTCAGGGTTAAACATTTGGGTTTTACCGTTTTCGAATGCATTCAGACGATTTTCTGATATTTTCGAGAATGTCAGTAACCAGAGAGTTTCTGGTCTCATTGACTTCTATAGTAGGAAAAAAATATACTATGGAAGTCAATGAGACCAGAAACTGTCTGGTTACTGATATTCTTCTAAATATCAGAAGATCGGCTGAATGGATTCGAAAACGGTAAAAACTCAACTGTTTAACTCTGGGGGAGTGGTAAAATGATTTCCAAAAAAAAAAGTGGAATATCCCTTTAAAGGTACAGAGGCAAAAACAGTCAGATAGTGAGAGAGTAAATGGTCATAAAAAGCTAAATAATGACTGTTTGCGCAAGAACATTGAGCTATAAGTAGATATATTTATACAAACGTGTAGATTATGAAAATCTAAATACAACAATACACTATTCTACTAAAATGTTTAAAAAAAGACTTTTACAACACTTTTACATTTTATATTCTGGAAAATAAATCCAATCAATAAATAATGTATCAATAATAATACGTTTAAGCCATTTAAATGGTTCTTTATTTAATTTTTTTAAATCTTAAAATACTGTATCCTAATCCACCTTACAATACAAACGCCAGTAAATAATGAAGTCTTTTGTAGGTTTGAGCCACCCAACACTGCAACATTGACTCAACCAATGGCATTTAGAGTTAGGGGCGGGACTATCTCTTTGGCCAACCAATGGCAGATGGGAGATTGTTCAGAGAACATGTTTAAAACAATCATTATTTTTAGCATTTTTGTTTGGTGACATTAGCTGTGCAGAAACGCCTCATCTTTAAGCAGTTAAAAATTCACTGCCTTTGCTGCGTGCTAATAACATACAGTAAACACAACCCTCTTAACTTAAACGGTTATAAAACAAAGAGCAGTAGCTCTCAATATAATGTAAATATGACTATATTCACTGCGTAGAGTGCCAATCTGAAGATCAGTATGCCTGTGGTGCAGCAGTGTAAACCACACTGACAGTAAACAAGCACACAGATCTACATTCTGCAAGCTCTGCACATGACGCACTGCCACCTGTTAGGAAAACTACTCTTCCTGTCTGGCTCAGGCACTTCTGTTCTGTTATTTACAAGACTTTGGCACAAAGCTGCAGGCTCGGCGATCTTTACAACACTCACCGAAGTAGTCAGATGGACCCAGGCGGCCCACTTCGACATATTCCTCATTATCGGACCTGCGCTGCAGAACAGATGCTGTACCCTGGGAAGAGAAGGAGAGATGCGGATTTAATGAGGAGGAAAAGTACAAAAAGAGGAGCAGAGGGAGGGGAGAAAAGCTTAGCTCACGGTGTCGCCGAGTTTGAGACGTGTCAAAAGGATTAGTGCTTTATATCCCTGCAGGTGTACGGGGTTTAGACAACTCTGCATGCTCGCAACACACACAAGTACGTCATGGACTGACACATGCAAGCACACCTGGGCCTGTCAGTGTTGAGATTTTTCTACAGTGCATGCGGCGCCCCACACTGCAATGCAAAAACTCATTTAGAAAGATAAACAAGGAGACAGGCAAACGGTCTGTCACATTTGTCATATCAAGGACAAACACTACCCACAATACAACAGTAAAACGAGGAAGGCTGACAGGACAGGGCTTCGCTCTATTCATAGTCACTTTACAGACGTTGAAAAGACGAATAGCTGTTAATCCGTACAAAATATACAAAAAATGCAAGTCGAATGAATGTTAACTACAATACCCTCTTTCATTACTCTCCTGACTGTGAGTAAACTCGTATCTTGTGAGCAAATGTGGGGGTTGGAAGCAGGTTAGAAGGTCATCTACAGGCTCCATTGCTTGGTCACTTAGGCCTTTGCATGTAAACGGAACAATTTGTAAAAAGAAAAGCAATATGGACTACTTTTTAAACATAACTGATGAATTTTATGATTTAATGACGTTACATACCAATTCTGCTGATGCAACCATATCTTAGATAGCAGCACTAGTTATTAAAGCTATTCCATAAACATCTAATAAAAAATAAATCAACAAGCCGTCACTAAGAGAGACCACATACAGTGAGAAGAGGCCCAAACCTTGAGGGATGCCAGACTTGACCTGTTTGCTCTCAAAGGAGTTGTTGTCTTCACTCAAACTGTTAGCGGACACTGACATATGATTTGAGCCACTTCTAATCCACAGTACTTGTCGAAGTAGTCAATACCCATGGCTATGTCTCGCATGTAGCACTACTGGATCTCTTTGGAGCTTTCAACACACAGTTGACCCCATTGACCTTAACATCCTGGTAGAAGACTTGAAAATCACAGGTCAAGTATGAAAATCAAGGGTCAAGGATAGTGTCCATCAAAGTTGTGTACTGGAGTTAATACTAGTATCGTTGTAACACTGTGTTAACTTCCACTGCTACACTGATGAAAAGCAATTATACAGTACATCAACAACAAGACTAAAAGCTTATTTTGTAATGTTTGCTGCAACTGAAGATTTATTTAGGTGTTAATATGTGATATCATTGATTTTTTTTAAACTTATAACATCTCAGGCATTGCATAACAACAGCCTTGCAACCACCTAAACACTCTAGCAACGACATTTAGTAGAAGGTGCTAAAAATATAGAACTATAGCAACACCCTAGCAACCACCCATAACACTTTAGCAAACACAGCAGGGTGCTAAAACCACTTAAAACACCTTCGAAAGTGCACATCAACACCATTGTGACTGCATAACAAGGTGTTAAAATCACTTAGCAACACCCTAGCAACCACCCAAAAGACTCTAGCAAATACATAGCAAGGTGCTAAAATCACATAGCAAACACACTACAGCAACTGCATAGCAACAACCGACCATAAGTCTCCAGCAACCAATATTACAAGGCTATAAAATCACTTAAAACACTTTAAAACATTCATAACAACACCCTAAAAACACTTAACAGTGCTACAATCACTTAAAACACTGAACGGCTTAGCAACAACATAGCAACCACCCATAATGTTCCAACAACCACATAAGAAGGTGATAAAACTACTTGGAACAGAAACAGTTAAACATTGTATAACACCACCCAGGCAATCAAATAAAGTGCCAAACCACTCAGAACACTTTTGGAATTGCATAGCAACACCCTAGAAACCACAAATAACAATAACTACCAAATAACTACTTAAAACATTGCTAAAAAAACACTTGGAAAACACCCTAGAAACCACAAATAACAATAACTACCAAATAACTACTTAAAACATTGCTAAAAAACACTTGGAAAACACCCTAGAAACCACAAATAACAATAACTACCAAATAACTACTTAAAGTATTGCTAAAAAAAACACTTGGAATTGCATAGCAACACCCTAGAAACCACAAATAACAATAACTACCAAATAACTACTTAAAACATTGCTAAAAAAACACTTGGAAAACACCCTAGAAACCACAAATAACAATAACTCCCAAATAACTACTTAAAGCATTGCTAAAAAAACACTTGGAATTGCATAGCAACACCCAAGAAACCATAAATAACAATAACTACCAAATAACTACTTAAAGCATTGCTAAAAAAAACACTTGGAATTGCATAGCAACACCCTAGAAACCACAAATAACAATAACTACCAAATAACTACTTAAAACATTGCTAAAAAAACACTTGGAAAACACCCTAGAAACCACAAATAACAATAACTACCAAATAACTACTTAAAGTATTGCTAAAAAAAACACTTGGAATTGCATAGCAACACCCTAGAAACCACAAATAACAATAACTACCAAATAACTACTTAAAGCATTGCTAAAAAAAAAAACACTTGAAAAACACCCTAAAAACCACAAATAACAATAACTACCAAATAACTACTTAAAGCATTGCTAAAAAAACACTTGGAATTGCATAGCAACACCCAAGAAACCATAAATAACAATAACTACCAAATAACTACTTAAAGCATTGCTAAAAAAAAAAAACACTTGGAATTGCATAGCAACACCCTAGAAACCACAAATAACAATAACTACCAAATAACTACTTAAAACATTGCTAAAAACAGATGGAAATTGCATAGCAACACCTTAGCAACCACATAAGTGCTAAAACCACTCAGGGCATTTAAGGAATTGCATAGCAACACCCTAGAAAACACATAACATTCTATCAACTACTTAAGGTGCAAAAGGAATAGAATTTCATAGCAGCACCTAGCAACCATCAATCTAGAAATTGCATAGCAACACCATAAGAAAGTACTAAACCCAATTAATATGATTACAATTTTGCAGCTAACTTACAAAGTGATATTGCCTATAAGACCACCTCAAAGATCTCCAAAAAGCCTTCTAGTACTGTATGTCTCCTTCAATCTCAGGATGCATGCCTCTTCAAAGTACTGTTCGAACATCTGCTGATGGAGAGGCATTATGTTACAGAGCTCCACAGCTGTGGGACTGCGTTTCTGGCTGCCAATATGAATAATCAGACAAGCTGCCAATATCAAATTCAACATCTAGAATACAAACATTCCTGTTCAGTCAAGCATATAGCTAAGGTAACTCATGCATACAGGCTACCATTTTCACCTGAAGGCATCAAGCTCAATTGAAAATCGAAGAGTTTGGGTTAACCGAGATACCAATGTTGTTGACTTGCTGTTTACTCACGTTCAGTTAAGTCTGGAGCTGGCGTCTGGGCGGGCGGCTCTCCACCTCTCAGTCTCTTTTAGGAATACTAAACCATCTAATTTGCCTTGATGCATAAATACTAACGCATTTTATCCTCCACTTCTCCTGCATTGATGTGTGCTAATTAGGTATGCATATTTTTATGTCATTTCATGGGATAAAGTAGGCAGAACTATCGTTAACCTTTTATTTTCTCACGCTCTGTCACTCATACCAACCACACAAACACTTTTTAATCTTATGTAAGTTACAAATGATTGATTAGGGTAGTTTGTGAAAAAGTTAAAACCAGAATGCACCGTGACAAGCGCAGAGTAACTAAAAAAATGTCAATTATGAATAAATATTTCCTATACCGTTCAAAATGTTGGGGTCAGTAAGATTTTTTTTTCTCAAAGAAACAAATATTTTTATTTAGTAAAGTTGATCAAAAGTGACAGTGAAGACTTTTTACATTGTTACAAAAATGTCTATTTAATCAAATAAATTGTTTTTTTTCTATTTTCTAATCACTCTGGCCCAAATAGTGATATAAGGGCATGTTATATTTATACAGAAAAAATTAGCACAGTCTCGGGCTTGATATCCTGTATATGGGTTTCATCAATTATGGAAAGTCTGTAGCGCTCTGTTAAAAAGTCATAAAAAAGATCCAGAAAATTCTCAGCACAGCAGTAAGTCCTTTGACCAGCTCTTCCTTAAAAATACTTATGAATAACTTCAATCCGCAAAAGAGCTAACCCTGAGAGAAAATGTGGAAACGAGTCAGAACATTGCATTTTTAATACGTCAGGGATGGCTTTCATCTCATACTGATTTGAATGTGCCTATAATTATGTGGTATATAATGACAGATTTCACTTTTTCTTTAAAAAAGCTCTTTGGCCAAGTTTTAAGCTTTGAATGTTTCGGTGTGACCCAAGTGGATCAGTGTTCTGGTATTAGCAGGATCTTGGCTTGGGACGTGCTCTCCAGAGGTATGACATCATGGGGATGCCCTGGAGCTGTTGGTTTTGCATTACTATCAAATTAAAAGTCTCACAATGGGCAACAAATTGTATCAGCATCTGTGGGAAACCCAGGGAGTGAGGGGGAGAAATGTTAAACACAAACAACACCCAAATGCAAACAATTTAGCAGAGTTGTCTAATTGGTCATCTGCTCTCACACGATTAAGACAGTCTGACAGCAGCTGTATGGGTAATAAACCACACCACGAATCATCACATTCAGCACGGCCCAAATTAAGATGATGGAACGCTATACACTGTGAAATCGGTTAATGCGTGACGCATCAAATCATAGTTGACCTGTGACTCAATCTAACAAACAACAAATGTGTCTCAAACCAGGGTTATTATAGTTAAGCAAAACTAAAACCATATGCAACTATTTAAAATAAACATTAACTGAAATAAAATATCAAATACAAACTTTGAACTAGCTGCAAAGTCTACATTTCTTATTTTCATTTTAATCTCATCACTTGATGTCACTAAAATAACTCTCTCTCTCTCTCTCTCTCTCTCTCTCTCTCTCTCTTATAAGGATGACACACATTAATCAACATTTCTGCCAGTGTAAGCCTAAAACTAAACTAAACTAAAACTGAAATAAAAATTAAAACATCATACACATAAAATAATGATACTAAAATAACATAGTCTCATCCACAGGGGCAGAGTATGTTAACCTGTGAGAGACAAAAAAAATCTTCAAATTGTGTGTAAATTGAAGAACTCTAACCCTAGCGGTATCTTGTCAAGACAAAGATGAAGCTAAAAGCAAAAACTATGGGACTAGAGCTGGACGATGACACCCACACAGCTCTTCCTTCCCTCCCAAGCCTGTGTCAGTAAAGCCGTCCCTCTGGTTCCCTCGCTCAGGTCTGGAGTCTGGGCCTGACCCTATGTGAAAGTCTGCAGCCTACATTCCATCACTGAACCGCTGGCCACCCCGTGCTGGGAATCAGGCAGAGACGGGAGGAAGAGAGAGAGACAAACAAGCAGCGAGACAGAACCATGTCTCACGCTAAAGTCCTCTTCATTTATTTTTATCTGTCTCTCTGCCCTGCTATTCTCTGACCCAGATCAACACAAGTTGATGGAAATGCAAACTGGGATAAGGATGAACAAAACAAATTAAAAAAAGCATGGAACAAATTGAACACAAAATAAAATAGAGTAAAATAGCTGAATAAAGAGAGCAAAGGAAAGTCGAACAGAGCAAAATAAATAAATAAATAAACAGAGTACATGACAGAATTAATCATTTTTGTTCGTACATTGTTCACAGTGAAGTAATTGTATTACTCGCTGTGTATTCTTATAATGCAGTTTTGTAAACTGCACAGTATACCGAGTGAAACGACGTTTCGTTCCATTGTATACGGCCAGAATGACAATAAACTCTAATCAAAATCTAAAACTTCAGAACGGAAAACAATAAGCACAAATGAGAGCTATACAGAATATATCTGAATAAACAGAACAGAATAGAACTCAGTAAAGAGAATAGAATGGAACAGAACATATGGAACATAGAATAGATTTCAATAGGACAGAGCTAAATATAACAGAGTAAACAGAATAGAACACATACAAAAGACTAAGACAGAATATGACACATTAAAACTAGAATAGATCACTGTAAACAGAATAGAACACATACAATAGATTAGAACAGAATTGAATGGAATAGAACAGAACAGAGTAAATAGAATAGAACACATTACATTAGAATGGATTAGAACACAGAATTGTGCGAAAAAGAACAGAGTAAACAGAACAGAACACGTACAATAGAATAGAATGGAATAGAACAGAACAGAGTAAATAGAATAGAACACAATAGATTAGAACACAGAACACAGTAAACAGAACAGAACATACAACAGATAAGGAAAAAACAGAACACTGTTCTATTCCACTCTATTTTGTGTTCTGTTTCGTTCTAATCTATTGAATGTGTTCCATTCTGTTTACTCTGTTCCATTCCGATCTATTCTGTTTTAATCTAATCGGTTATATGTTCTATTCTGTTTACAGTGTTCTGTTCCAGTCTGTTCCGAGTAAACATAATATAAAACATAAATTAGAGTAGAACAGAATGGAAACAGAACAGAGCCAAATGGAACAAAGAAAAAAAAAACATACAATAGATTCGAATAAAAGAGAACACAGAATTAAGTGGAACAGTATCGTGGAAACGGAACCGAATACACACAATAGATTGGAACGGAATCAAAACAATAGTGTGGAACAGCTGAATAAACAGAATAGAACACCATAGATTAGAACAAAACAGAACACAAAATAGATTAGATTAGAAGAAAAATGGAATTGTGCAGAGTGAATAGAACAGAGGAGAATAAAACTGAGCGACCAAAATAGAACTCAAAAGGACACAATAAATTGATCAAAAGTGACAGTAAAGACATTTAAAACTTTTGAACTTTCTATGATAAAACGTATCACGATTTAAAAAAAAAAGATTAGGCAGCACAACTGTTTTCAACATTGATAATAATAATAAATGTGCATTGAGCATCACGTCAGCATATTAATATGATTTTCGGTAGGATCAATAAAAGAACCCTTTTCTTAAGACAGGAGTAATGATGCTGAAAATCCAGCTTTGACCATTCACTTGGAAACTAGATTTACAAGTGATTCGGTCTGCCTGTCTGAAGCCACACACACACACACACCAGCAGGTTTCCTACACTCAGTCATTCGCACTCACACAGACTCAATCCTGGCGCACATCTCGTTCCATTGTTCAGCAATGAAGAACTAACCTTTCAGCAACACATGTGTGCACTTTATGTGGCGCAGCAATCTCAGATTTATACCATTTCCCAAAGAAACAATCCTTACAAAAGTCTTTTCCAAACGCACATACTTGTGACATCACCTGAGCATCACCAATCTCAAATCTACAATTAATCTAAATGACAGTAATGCAAAGTGTGATTTGGCTCCTCAACATCAGGAATGTTTCATCAAAATTATGGGCAGGCAAGCCAAAAATCAATTGAAATAGGATTTTTGTCAGACAGGCATAAATCATACAGTAAATCCATATATATATCCTCAACATGCTTTATGATTTGAGGAATCATTCATGTCCATAGCACAAATGGTACAGAATGAAGTTTAATAGTCAGTGTTAAGGGTCGGTGTAAATTCCTATCCCTAATTATAGGCAATAATCAGGTGGATGCGTGGAGAGCACGGCATCATGGGAGCACTCAACAGCCTGATTGTATTAGTACTGCAACCTTCACGGAGGAGAGCAGGAGAATGAAGAAAAGAGAGGCGCTGAACATATGAGACTTCCCCCCCCCTCCAGACTTCACAACATCTTCATAAATGTGGAGTTAATCAAAATATTGTTCAAAGATCTGGCAGAGGAGGAGAAGAATGCTGAATCAGCACCACCAGGGGTTACAGAACTGTAAATGTGTTTGGTGGTGTTGACAGCACAAAGCAAGAGTATCGGCTAACGCAAGAGAAAACTAGCAGGACTAGATGTGCATGCACACACACAACCAATATAAACTGATCTTCATTCAATACATTTCCATGCTTTTGTCAAGACACACTGACGATTGTCTAAAAACAACTTCAGAAAGTGAGAAAGTGCCGTTTGGTCTGTTTTGAGAGTGTGGAAAAAGTCGGATCGATGTGAAATCAAGCGAGAGTACCACAAATTAGATTTCCAAAAGTATTGGGAATCCAACAGATACAGGAAAACTTTCTTCGGTCAACACTGGATTGCATTGCCGTAAAAGTTACAATAGTGATTTAGTCTAGTGCGTGAGCACCTTTTGAAAGTGTCAGGCCAAAACGCTTGAAGCAACCTTGCCGTCTGTTCTCCTCTGGTCAACCTAAAGGAACTGGTACTCAAACGACTGCTATTCTGGCAACCACAAAAGTAGGATTGTTCTTCACTTGCTGGAGCGAACAAACATGCAGATGGTCATTTGCACACACACACCTCTGTTATGATGAAGAAATCATCTCCCGGTTCTCCCTGCACTACGATCTTCTCTCCATCGTCAGACTGCACAGGCTCCAGGGCATCGGCCACAGTCAACCTCTCCCACTTATCAAGGGATTCTGCAAGACACAAAAAGTGTGACGTTAATCTGGAATGGACCTGAACAACTTCACTTCAAGTTCAACCATTGAACTTTAATGTTATTAGGGGGTGTGAATCTTTGGGTGGACAGAGAATTGATTCAAATTACGATTTATAGGCTTCGATTTGATTCAGGAAAGATTTTTGCTAATTCAAAACATTTCAATTCGATCTGATTCAGAATGAGATTTGTTTTGGATTAATGATTCGACTGTATTTTTTAAAGTTTATTCATAGGATGATGTACAATTGCATCTACTAATGCGTCTTGGGTTAAAAAAACAAAACAAGGAAAAGACAAACTACTTAAAGTCCCGATGTAGTCAAACATTTTATTTTGAACATTTTCATCCTTGATAAAAATGATTTCATGGCTTAACATAGCTTGAATGTAACTCTACACCTTTGCCTCATTTAGTATACGCAGTTCTATGAATATGCAAATTAGCCCCGTCTCCACTCACTCACACCAGCTTAGAGATCCACTCGTTGACGATCACACGTTGACCTGATTAGATACAAGATCGTTTATGACATCAAAAACACCAATTTTTGAGACTGTCTTTGGTTCACTTATAAATTTACACATGGTTTGTCTTGAAAGCATATTGAAAACACAACATACACAATATTAAAACCTTGATTTTCACCACAGGGGGACTTAGAGATTGTTCATTGCACCAAGCAACTGTAACGTAAACTCATTAAATACATGTACATACATACAGGCTACTTGGAACATAACGAGTGCAATGTGCCAATAAAACATTTTATATCTGAGTGCAAAGTTTTTATTTATTTCCATGAATTTTCTTTGTGTGGAAAAAGCAATAAAAAAATCCCTATTATTTCCAGTCACTAAACAAATGCAAATATCAAAATATTCCCTTATACATTCAGTTTCCTCAAGGTCTCATATGCAAATGAATACTCCTCAAATCTCACCCAAATAAACAATTATACCCATAAAATGGCAGAATTTTATCTAATAGAAAACTATGGTGAGTTTTTCATGCAATAAAAGAGTTTAATTCCAGTAGTAGTGCATGTGCAATAAGTTGCCATCTTTATCAGTGGTTTGTGTGCATTCGAGGGCATGAATGATGCCACGTTACACCTACTGTACATTAATACACACATAAGTTATTTAATGTTTATATATTTTAAAATATTGAACCGATTCTTAACCAAAACAAACAATTAAAGTTTAAATCCGTTTAAAGATTGATATACATATACATAGGCAGTCTCTGTACTCGAAAAGTTACACCTCTAAATGATAATACGATAACGTCATGGTGCAACAAAGCACCAATGCTTTGAAATGAAAGGCAGAGAAGTTAAAGTCCCCGTGAACCGGAAGTTGCAAACGACTTTTCTCCAGTTTTGTGACGTATTTCGGAGAGAAACGGAATACTAAATGAGGCAAAATAGTGGGCGTGGCTTTTTTTTCTAACTAGCACCTGATTGGATCTAGAAAAATGGGTGTTTCATTCTGAAATGGAGGATGATGCAAGTTTACACACGCTGTCAATCAATGCTCGCTCGGCGCTCGCAAACACACAGCAGCTGTCAGTTGGAGGGGTGTGGTTATGGATGTTAAGGAGACACCCAAACCGTAAAGCCTACGTCATCGGGCAAGGTCCTCCAATGCAGAGGGGAGGGGCATTTTCAAACTTTGATTAAAGATTACGAAGCCAAAAAATTTTTTTGTGTGGATTGACTTGCATGTATGAATTGTTCACCACAAAACGATCAATTTAGCCAAACAAAGTAAGTATGGTTAATTTTGATTTCATAGGGACTTTAAAGTTCAATTTCCATCCATCCAAAAGTAACAAGCAGCCTAGACTGATATTTTTAGAGACAATTTTGGGGTAGCCGTGCTATTTTTCGTGTGCGATGGGCATCCGGTGGTCCGTGAGTGACCCGTGGGTGTGTCTTTGGAGGCTCAGACTAATGCTTTTATAAATAAACTGACTAATCGGAAAGACACCGAGGCTTATCATGAACTTCCTGCAGAATGCGAAGACTGGATCTTGACCTAGAAGAGCTTCTGTTGCTCGTGGACTATTGAAGCCGTGGCCGTGAGAAAAGAAACCGCCAAAGCCATCATTCAATACCCACCACATTCCAGAAACACTTCCCACCTTCCAGCATCCATCACACGGGCGTACCACACACGAACACGACCACACTAAAACCCTCAGGCCTTCAGCCTGCGTTGATCCATCCTCCAGCTGCGAATAATAACCAACGCCTCTGCCCTTTGCTGTTTGCTCCCTCTGTCATTCTTCATTTCCCATTACCCCATCAGAATGCATTTCCCATCATCCCAATGCTGGACAGTAGCAGAAGATCATTCTCAGATTAGACCGTCATAATAGTGTTAACATTTAAATAGTTAAAAGGAGACGATGTGTGTGTGGCTTAGGTGTGTGTTTGTGTGTTGGGGCCAGCCTGTCTGCATGCCCCAGACTAATGGTCACTTTATCAGGCTGGCTAAGACATCCTCGCGCCCGGGCAGACGTCCACCTGCTTCAGGCGTAACATGAGCCGTCAGTGAGGGAAAAATCAACACCGCATGCTTCAACTAAGAAAAAAACAGTGTGTCTGTGTGCGTCTGTATTAGCACCTTACTCTTTTTAGGAAATTGTAACATAGCATAGAAAAATTCAAAACTAAATCTTTCCGATAACGCACTAAAAAATGTAGGCTTTTGGTGATTTTCAATATTACTAATTTGAATTTTTTCAAAAAAATTTTACATTAAAATCCATACATTAAATAATAATATATATATATATATATATATATATATATATATATACAGTATATGCATGTGTGTAAATGTTTAATTTATTGAATTGAATTTAATATTATATACAGTTTTTCTTTTTTTAATATTATAAATATTACATTGTTCATTTTTATATGCATTAATATGACAATAAAGAGCAATATTTGTATACATAAATTTTTACAAAAATATTTAATTTATGAAAATATCACATGGGGACTTCCGTGAACAATTGTGAAAGACAACGCAAAAGAAAATGTATATATACACACTCACTAAAGGATTATTAGAATCACCTGTTCAATTTCTCATTATTGCAATTATCTAGTCAACCAATCACATGACAGTTGCTTCAATGCATTTAGGGGTGTGGTCCTGAGATGGTCAAGACAATCTCCTGAACTCCAAACTGAATGTCAGAAAGGGAAAGAAAGGTGATTTAAGCAATTTTGAGCGTGGCATGGTTGTTGGTGCCAGACGGGCCGGTCTGAGTATTTCACAATCTGCTCAGTTACTGGGATTTTCACACACAACCATTTCTAGGGTTTACAAAGAATGGTGTGAAAAGGGAAAAAAACATCCAGTATGTGGCAGTCCTGTGGGCGAAAATGCCTTGTTGATGCTAGAGGTCAGAGGAGAATGGGCCGACTGATTCAAGCTGATAGAAGAGCAACTTTGACTGAAATAACCACTCGTTACAACCGAGGTATGCAGCAAAGCTTTTGTGAAGCCACAACACACACAACCTTGAGGCGGATGGGCTACAACAGCAGAAGACCCCACCGGGTACCACTCATCTCCACTACAAATAGGAAAAAGAGGTTATAATTTGCAAGAGCTCAACAAATTGAACAGTTGAAGAATGAGAACATGGATCCATCATGCCTTGTTACCACTGTGCAGGCTGGTGGTGGTGTAATGGTGTGGGATGTTTTCTTGGCACACTTTAGGCCCCTTAGTGCCAATTTAAATGTCACGGCTTACCTGAGCATTGTTTCTGACCATGTCCATCCCTTTATGGCCACCATGTACCCATCCTCTGATGGCTACTTCCAACAGGATAATGCACCGTCACAAAGCTCGAATCATTTCAAATTGGTTTCTTGAACATGACAATGAGTTCACTGTACTAAAATGGCCCCCACAGTCACCAGATCTCAACCCAATAGAGCATCTTTGGGATGTGGTGGAACGGGAGCTTCGTGTCCTGGATGTGCATCCCACAAATCTCCATCAACTGCAAGATGCTATCCTATCAATATGGGCCAACATTTCTAAAGAATGCTTTCAGCACCTTGTTGAATCAATGCCACGTTCCTTTAGGTGAGTGTTTATATATATAATTGTTTCATTTAAAAGCACCATTATGACAATAAAAATACATTATTTTTAATTAGGAAAAGACAGTATATTTATACATTTTTTAATATAATATTAAATGCTAAATATATTTAAATATCATATTTCATTTTTAATTGCATTAATTAATTTATTTGTATCAATAAGACAAAAAACAGTAAAATTTGCATACATATATTTTTACTAAAACATTTAATATATGAAAATGTCACGATGGGACTTGCGTCAACAATCTTGAGTGACGACGCAAAAGAAAATTGATACGTGTGGTTTTTAAATCGATTTATCAAAACGGACACAACTCCTAAAAGAAGCAGTCACTTTTAATGTTCCACGAATTATCATGGGTGAAATACATTTATTCCAATAGGAATCCACACAACTAGAAATTTCGTATTGATGGCGAAAGATTTCCCCACACGGGTATAAGTTGGTCACGTGACTCACTGTGTTGACCAACAGAAAGCTGCTTGGTTTGAAAGTAAGGTGTTCTTCATACACTATTGACAATAGACAATGTCTGCTAATAGACCTTATTTCACTAAAGTGGATGCACTTTACCAGCCGTTTGGCAATGGATGCTTAATTCAGATAAGTTAATAAAACATCTCTATATTAACGCTCTCATACTCGTGGATCACAATTCTTAATTGTAAAATAAAAACGGATTATAATCGATTGAATATATACTTCATAGTTCAGAATCTCCTATCCCTGAATCTGAATGGCTGTTAGCACATTGTAAGTCAAAAGTACATCACAAAGTTTCTATGATATTCTGATCACGTAACGTGGCGTAACGAGAGAATGTTAAAATATGACTTGTTTTTTGAGGCAGTTTTTTGCGCAAGACCTCACAAGTGTCAAGACCTCACAAACCATGGCAAAGACTTCACAAAACAGTACCGATTTCACCGCAATCTCAAAAGAATCTTACGCAAACAAAAACATGCCCCCCTCAAAGGCGAGAAGACGAGCAAAGAAAAGAGGTTTGAAGAGCGAGAGAGCTGGGTGTTTGAAGACAGGCCGTGACAGGGCTGTGAAACGGAGAACTCGGAGAGAAAGAAAAATAGAGGAAACCGAGAGGAGGAGTGTGTTTGTTCAGCCATTTAATAACCCCATTTAGAGCGACGAGTGACCTCAGGGTGCTGAGGGACGAGGGGTCAACGCAGAACTGACCATCTTAATGTTCCTCTTTCTCGCTCCTCTTTGTCTCTCTCTCACCAAACAAAACCGCTGGAATGCAAGTCTGAATCTGGCAGTGGTGTCTGTCAGTCAAAGCTACATCTTCAGCCTCATTTTTGGACACATAGAGTTGCTATTTGATTGTTTGGAGATTATGAAAAAGCTCTAGAGTTCATTTACAAGTTTTTGGACGCATAGAGTTCATTTACAAGTTTTTGGACACATAGAGTTGCTATTTGGTTGTTTGGAGATTATGAAAAAGCTCTTGAGTTCATTTACAAGTTTTTGGACACAGAGTTCATTAAGTTTTTGGACACATAGAGTTCATTTACAAAATTCTAGACACAGAGTTGCTATTTGGTTGTTTGGAGATTATGAAAAAGCTCTTGAGTTCATTTACAAGTTTTTGGACACAGAGTTCATTCAGTTTTTGGACACATAGAGTTCATTTACAAAATTCTGGACACAGACTTGATATTTGGTTGTGTGGATATTATGAAAAAGTTCATTTACAAGTTCTTCAGATCAGTGTTGTTAAATTTAAAACCCAAGCACATGATGGTTTTCTTGCGAACCAGAGATTAATTCTCTCTGGGGTTATAATTTATTTTAAGGTGAGGTAGTTACATTGTAATTCACTCTAAAAAGTAATGAGTAATATTAATAACTACATGTACTTACTATAGAGTTACGTTTAGGGTTTGGTTTAGGGTTAGTTACTTGTAGTTATGCATCATTTACTGTTATTACTATAGTAAGCACATGTAGTAAAGTTCTTAAATCCATCAAAAATTGGGTTGTTCACATGGACACGTCAATTTACAAATGAGACCTTATTGTAAAGTTGTTACTGAAAACTTTGCAAATAACCAACATTACACTAATTTATTCCAATTTTTTTATGTACACTAAAAAATGCGGGGTTGTTCTAACCCAATTTTTGGTCAAATATGGACAAACCCAAAAGTTGGATTAAAAATGCAATTTAAAAAATGTAAATTGTAAAATTAACCCAAGATTTAACCCAAGTCTGAGTTGTTTTAACCCAGACTTGGGTTAAAACAACCCAGCATTTTTAGAGTGTAAGAACAGTCTCATGGACGATTTACAAAATCCTGTTTTTCCCAATAAACAAGGTGTTCGATTAAGATTAAGAATAAAGTTTAATAAACAAGATGTTCCATTTTAACCATTACAAAGTTTTCATTACTGTACTTACCAAGTATAGAGACCTTACTAAGGAACTCTTCATACATCTTCCTCTTCCTCAACGTGCTTCCCTAAAAAAAACATTGAGGCAGCAGTTAAAAAACACATTGAGGACTTCAGGTAACAGAATCTCCTGCCCTCTAATCAGTCTCTACAGAACAAGAATAAGAAACACAGCGCTGAGAACAAAGCCGGGGGACTTTCCTCAAACACGCTGCAGAAGAAGAACTATAAACATACAGATTAAAGCAAAGTTTTGGCTTCCTTCTCTTTTGTTCCTAGTGTTGTCTTTTTCAGCTCCATCTCTCTCTAATGCTCAGATAAAACACACAGAAACACATTAAGTGGAGACGGTCCCGTAGTTAAGAAAAATCACGAATGATCTTCTTTTTTTGTCTCTATTGTTTCTCCTAGACAGGGATGAGATTAAATTAAGTCTCTGAGTTATTAACTTAACCACCATCATATTTTGAGACAACGAAATGCAAACTTCCAGCCACCGGCTGACCGTGAAGATCTTCTCTCTTACGAGGTCAGTGACCTCTTCACCCCTGGTGTTTGAGAAGAAGATACAAAAACATCAGAAGAACATCTAAGATGGCCTGCAGACACTAAAGTGAGGCATGACAACGTGATCTACAGCGTTCCGGCAAGTGTTGGTCAAGCTTAATGGATTAGTTCACCCGCATTTCCCAAATAAACAGTATATATTTTCTAAAGACAGACTCTGAGTAGCTTAAATAAGTGTCTGTGGGGATCCTTTTACAAGAGCAAACAAGAAATATTATGCATTCCAAAAAAGTGAACTAAACACTTCTGCTTGAGAAACTTGAGGCGTATTCTAGACTAGTGCATATTTGTGTAAATGTAAATGTCTACTTAAATAACTGACCAAAATACTTAGCTTGCAAGTGAGTCTGGGCAATATATTTAATAATTTACGATTATATTTTGGTATTATTTAATTTGAGGATTAGGGATGGAAAAAATGAAAAAGTAAGATAATAATATTACATAATAAAAATAAACTAATATTACATATTTTCAAACATAATTTCAATCAAAAAGACTTTAAAATGATTTAATTGGAGAATAAAAAATTAATTCATAATAATAACAATAATAACATACTAAAATATGTATAAATATTTTATTATATTATATATACACTACTAAAAGATTATATATATATAATAGAATAATTAAAATAAAAATAAAAACACACATATATATAATTAAGAAAAATGTAATACACACACATATATATATATATAAAATTTTTCTTCATTTCAATCAAAAAGACTTGTAAAATCTATTTTGAAAATGTTACATGCACTCAATCATTTAATCTAGTAAAATATCTAAATTATTATTAATATTTTCTTTGATAGGTCAAAAAGCTATTTCAGATTGAATATTAAGATTTCAAGTATCATCAAAAGGAAGAAAATTATTGATATATGAAGAGTTCAGATGCAAAAGCCTCTAAGTGCCATTTGAAGTTTTTTTCTAGAATGATGATTTTTATCAAGCTTGTATATTTAAGTTCAGTGATTTCACTTAAATGGCAATGATAATTACCTATTAATTGTTATTTAAGTGAAATTACTGAACTTAAATATACAAGTTTGATAAAAATCATCATTAAAGAAGAAAATTTCAAATGGCATTTAGAGGCTTTTGCATCTGAACTCTTCATATGTTATATATGTTTTTATATAGTGCCCAGGTACATCTGTAAGCATCTAAAAAAGGAGGATTACAAATAAGTGTTTTTTTCTCTAAAAATAATATATATATATATTTTTTTTATTAAATAGACATTTTCTAAAACCAACAAAGAGTATACTGTAGGTCATTTCACAGGTTCTCTTACACACATTATCAAACGCACTGTGAAATATGACATTTTATAAACAGTTTTATGAAACACTGACTTATCTCTAATTGACTGCAGCCACACACACACACACACACACACACACACACACAAATCTTTTACTGGTTTAATTAAGAGCAGCTCAGCATAGCTGAAATCTGACAGTCTGTCTCTCTTCTCACAGAACTCGGTGTGTGTGTTGTTAAGAGTAAGTGCGTGTTTGCATAAGAAAGCGAGGAAGACCCTAAAGAGAAAGAAAAACGAAACGATGGCCTGACAGAAAAATCTAAATTAGTCCCTTGTCAGGCTCTGTGTGGAGAGAACAGTTTCCACGGAGGCTTGCGGGGCATTAGAAATATTCATTTATTCATTCCCACAACACACACACACAAATACACACACTCTACAAACACAAACACTGCTACAGATGGAGCACTTGATGCAGATTACACTGTTGAGCGAGACAGTAAGTATTTAGTTAAAGAATACCAAAGGGTGGAAAGTTTGGTTTAGTTTTGAGAACGCCAACAGCACAATGGTCAAGACTTGCATCCAAGAGGAAGGGTTCGTCATTTAAAGGGATAGTTCAGCCTAAAATGAAAATTCGGACACTTCTGACCCTTATGTCACTGTGTGTGTGAGTGTGTTTCTACCATAAGGATGCGTCGGTAGCTGTCTCGGTCTATGCCCCACAGTTTCAGGTCAGTCTTGGCTTTCACAGTAGCAGCCCGAGGAGTTCCATATATCAGAGCCAACTCTCCAAAACTACCACCCTCTCCGATACTGGTCACCCATTCACCGTTTACATACACCTGCGAACAGAACGAGAGAGATCATTACATATTTGTCACTTTATCATGAACATGAATATGAATAACTAGTATGGTTAATTGAAGACAACAGCATGAACTTCCTTAGTAGATTAGAACATTCAGGGCCATTTTTAAGACTATTATGATTGTCATGAAAGTTAAGTTTTCTCCAAGTTCCCCAAAATGTTAATTACTTCAAAATGTAAAACAAAAACTAATTTGCATTATAATGTGCAATGCAATGTAATATAATATAATAATTAATGTAATGCAATGTAGAGGTCTGCATGGGATGGATTTTTCAATCCTGCTCCCACAAGAGTATGCACTCCTCCAACTTGCTTCAGCCAAAATATGTTAGATTATGGGCTCTATCTTGCACCCGGCGCAAATGATTTTGTACACTGAGGCATTTATCCCTATTTTGCACCCGCACAAAGCGAGCTTTTCCTCCACAGACGCACGTCGGTAAACTAGGAAATGAACTTGCGCTCACTGGACGGGTCGTCGCAAAAAGGAGGCGTGTTTCGGCGCAAACATTCCCTAGTGCTATTTTGCACTTCCAGAAAAAAATTGCGCCAATGACCAGAAAAAACCTAGTCTAAAGTCAGTGGCGCGTTGCGCGTACATTCAGATGCTATTTTAAGCACTCATGCTTGGCCGTAATACAGAGTGTGAACAACGCGCATACACTGTAGATGATTCTCTCATCTACGCAGATGCATTTCACTTTTTGCAAATGATACATTATTATAAGGAAAAAATATTTCACGAGGGAAATCATTGTTGTGTCCATGATGATGGGAAAAACAGGCATAAAACTTACACATTTACCCAAATGATTATATGCATGTTTAACCGAAGCTAATTTTGGTGTGTTTGTCCCATCCCCAATGTCACTTCTCTTTCTTTTTTATGGCCCTGACGAGAACATCGATCTCCTCGGCTGTAAATCGATTGTGAAGCGCGTCTGGTAAAAGCGCTGTTATAATAGTATTGCACCATGGAACAAGCGCACCTCGTCCATCATTCTCTTAAAAGGAATGTGATACGACGCTCTTATTGGTTTGTTTCTGTTACACCCAAACCACACCTATGAATAATGAAGCTACTTCAGACCAACTCCTTTTAAACTTGCGTCGGGCGCAAGAGTCATTTATCCCGCCGGTAAAATAGCAACAGCGCCCAAGACCCGCCCACAAAGTTACTTGTGCTTCGTGCTTGATACTTGCGTTTCAGATCGTTAAAATAGGGCCCTTATAGACCTTATGTAGCCCCGCCCCTTTTCAGCGCTGAGCTCGTTGTCTTTTGACTTCCGGTCTGTATTTTCACAGCGATCTTGCATAGGTATGAATGAACTGTTCGACATTTGTTAAGACATCTGCTTTACAATGCTTATGATAAACATTACAATGCTCATGATAACTTTTGTTAACTCTACAATAAGTAAATCCACTTCACCAGCTAATTACTCCTCGACAGCGATGCCATAGAAATATACAGAACTTGAAGTTCAAAGACAGTATTCTAAAGATGACGGCGCCCACGTTTCTCTGGTGCATAAGGTGTATAATAGAAAAAACATAAAATATGTTAGAAACATTTTTATATCTCTGTATCATTTACTTCTTGTCTGTGAAATTCACCTATTACACTTTAATTAAGATGATAGAAGCAAACACTTGTCTTAGAATATGCATTGATGACCTATACACAAAAAGGGACATTTAAACACAAAGTAAAAAAGGAACTATTTCAATTTCATGTTATCTGACTGTACTCTCGTTTCATACTAATGCTAGTCAAGGGCATTCACAGTGAAGCAGGTGATCTGATAACACACAGCTCGCACCTTCTATCTTCCCAACCTTGGATCCTCTAGGGTGTCTTACGAGGAATTAGATAACACCTTGAGACTCTTTCCCCTGTTTTGTCTTTCATTTTGGCATAACCGTAAGATGCTAGCGAAGGAAATATCTGACTGAATCTGTGTGTCAGCGTGTGGTTTTCAACAGCCACACGCATAGACCAGGACAAAGAGCCTCTTTCTCATTTTCCACAGAGGCTGATTGGGTTCCACCTGTAGACACACAATCCACTTGTTGATTTTATGAGGGGAGATAATAAAAGAAAACGTTAACACACGGGGCAGAAATAAACGCTCGTCCTGCTCGGGCCAGGCGTTCTGCCAGGCATCTAAGACACATTCCACAGGTATCTCTGCTCTCCAGACCGGCCACTCGAGCAGGTTTGGGTCAAAGCCTCCTCCGAGATGGCCAACATGTCACTTAAGGAGAGAACTTCTTTGCAATAAGTCTCCAATTCAGTCATTTTATTGGAACAAAAGACAAATATAATGGCTGCCCCCAACCAAAGACTTTTCTAGTAGTTAGGCCAATAGTTGACTAGTCGCAAGTGGATGATATTCATTCATTATTTAAATATAGACTGGGGGGCTTTAAAGTATTAATTAAGTGCTCAAGCGCATACATAAAGCTTGTGCAGCATACTGGCAAAATTTGTGATTATGATTGTGTTGGAGAGTGTTTGAACATTTGAATAATTTGTTACTATACTAGTGTTTTCTGAGGCAGCATCGGCTGCAAAGATGAAGTTGACGACACTGACTCGTCATCTCCACAGTATAGATGCGCCTATAGGGAGAAATGCATGTTACGTTAAAGGGTTAGTTCGGTATTTTACACTTAAAGTCCTGTTTTAAGATCGTTTCTGATGAAATAGGGCGTTTAAGATTGAAATTTGGACTGTCCCAAAAATGTTTGGTTTCTGTGTTAGCACTGCGTAATGCCTGGTTCAGATTACACGATTTTAGCCCGATTTTGGTACGATTCGTTCGACGTAGGGTGTCGTGGGGATTCGTAAATGACAACGGGCGTCGGGACGCAAGATTCGATCGTATCATCTCGTATAGAGTGTCATAGTGGGCGACAACCTACGTCGCGTCTGCGATGCTTCACGACATCACGACAAAAAGACTAGCATGTTTAATTTTTTTAATGGTCGGCCACGCCGGTTCCGTCACATGTATGAGGTTGACCAATAGGAGCACAAGCTTTTCCGTACACAACTTTCAAAAAAGACAAAACGAAAGAGAGACGATGGTGCTAACGTTAAAACTAAAAGTAAAAATATATAAGAAAACAATATTTTACCTCAAGTTCTCTTTGGAGGATTGACAGCCCATACTGTCCTCTTCGAGCAGGGTTCTCAAGTCTCACGCAATGGCCGTGAGACACACGCAATTCAACCAGTTCACACACTCACACATGCCACACCGTGTATTTCGCACGCTGAAAAGGCAATGCCGAGCAATCCCAAAAATTTTAGGTTAAAGACGGCATGCGATGACTTGTCAGGAAGTAACGTGTAGTCTGACATGTGTCTTGTCCACGACACGACAAGAATTTTGGAGCCAAAATCGCGTAATCTGACACAGTAGCCATGTTTCCATCCACTTGTCAATCGAATTATCTGAAATTCGCTTAAAAAACACATGCGGATAAAGCTGGTGAAAGTGTGTTTCCATCCAACGGCTTTAAAGCGAATAAAAACCTGTACGTAATGACGTCACATGTTGTTTTGCGATCAAATTGGTATATCGAATTGATTTGAGACATTTTAAGGTGTTTCCATTTATTTTCGCACTGAATCGAACAACATTCAAGCAAACTTTTGCGAACAAAGTTTTGTTAGACAAAACGGATCGCGCCATCTACCAAAAATGATCAATATTTCACAAGTTGAAGGCTAATAATGCTTATGTGCCAGCTGATTTCGACATATGAATGGGATAATGTATGCGAGGCGGTTGTTGGTTGTATTCGCTATAACCGCCTCGCTATTTGTATTATCCTGCTTATAGCCTACATATAAATCAACCAAATAAATAAATAAATAATTTGACACAAAATATTGACTTAAAAACGAGTTTATTGATTTAAAAACGAGAATTGCTTCTGCTAAAGAAAATAGTCTGTTCCGTCTCTGAACTGCGTCCATGGCAACGGTGTGTTATACTAGAAGCGCCGCAGTCTGTTAACTAGAAATAACAGACCACATTCTACATTACAATTCAACCAAGCCACGTAAAAACAAGCAAAACTAACCTAAGAAAACAGCGACGCTATAAACATTGCTATGATGATGACGATGCACGTATGCCCGACGACAGCGGAGGTGACTGTGGTTTGGGCACGACAGCGCTCCATCAGTTCTGGGAGATCGTGGTTCACGGAAACCCTTTGGTTGAAGCATCTTTTTGCTTTGTCCATTTACAGTTTTTGTCTGACTCCATTGACTTAACTTGGTACAAAAACTACTATAAAACCTGTTGGAAAGCATCTTTTGCAGCAATTTTTGTGTTTACAAAGACGTAAAACTCTGTGAGTTTCACGTCTTTGTAAACTAAAGTTTAATGCGTTTATGACTGATTGTTCGAGTGCATATAGACAACCATTGTGTGGGAGAAACCTAAACTTTTCGGGAGAGCAACATTTGTCCAAATTTCAATCTTTACCGTTCTATTTCATCAGAAACGATCTTAAAACAGGGCTTTAAGTGTAAAATACCAAACTAACCCTTTAAACATCATGCAGTAAGCACTGTAGTAATTTAGCTTCCACACTCCACATGAACATTTTGGATACATGGCTCATTTATGTTAACCTTAAAGCGAGTGGCCAAGTAAAGTGCCTAACATTAGGCTACTACTCGCATATTTCAAATGATCATTTATGTTTGAGGTATCTTGCTCGGCATAATTACCACATGGAACAGCCACGTTAACCATCTGTCCGTCACGGACTGCATGACTCCACGGACTGCCGATTCCTGAGGTGTTTGTTTTTCAGCAAATTTGATTGACTGCAGTGCTGACTCGATTAGTATGCAGTACTAAGCGCTCCAAAGTCACAGGAGATTTATCCTTTCGGCTAATGAGAGACATGTTATCACATTCGAGACGTATCTTGATGTTCCAGCACATTTGCGTATTGGGAGGTTTACGGAGCTGAACGTGCTCATGAGAAGACTGGTTAGTGTCTGTAAACATGTATTTTTCATGTGTTTGACAGCACTAGTATGGCGTACGGTGGATTAAGCGAGCGTGGCTCTGTGCTCGAGCTCTCTGCGCTCTGGCTCTGACCCAAGAGCTCGATACGACACAATCTGATGTGGCAGGGACCCAGTGCTGACTCAACGTGCCCTCGGAGCTCATCCAGAGCAGAGGAGAAATATTAGCACTGATATTTCACACAGCCGATCACTAAGCACATACACAAGGAGAAGAGTCTTGAGACAAACAAGACTGGTAAGAACATGAAGAATATTAATATACAGTGTTTAGATTCAGTTTGTGTAAGAAAAACAGCTTGACCATTCAAAATGGGCCAATTAGAAACGGTCAATGTTAAAGTCACAACCATATGACTTCTCAAAGAAATTAATACTTTTCTCCAGCAAGGTTGCATTAAATTGATCAAAAGTGACAGTAAATACATTCACAAATCCAAGTAAATTCCTTTTCAGTGAAATGCTGTGAAAAATTTCTATTTTGGGATAAATTTCTGAAGAGTCATGTGACATTGAAGACTGGAGTAATGATGCTGAAAATTCTGCTTTGATCACAGGAATAAATTACATTCATACTCATATAGAAATCAGTTATTTTACATTCTAATAAAATAGCACAATGTTACTGTATTTTGATTGAATAAATGTAGTCTTGGTGAACATAAAAGACTTCTTTCGCAAAAAAGGATAGTTTCTATTCATAATTCATTCACGTTTACTATTCACTATTCAGCAACTTGGCATGGCGGCAGTTGTTAGTCTGTTCACATGTAAAGAGATAATTTACATAGTAGCAAAAACAGTAATTCTAAGAGTCAAAGAGAGCGTGGAAAATGCTCATAAAAACTAATCTATGACTTCATGAAGGCACAACTAACATTATAAATGGACTCTAGGGAAAAAATAAAATGCTAGAAAAGTGTGTAAAAGGCCCCTTTTAAATAAACAATCATATTTACTGACAAACCAAGAATGGGGGAAAGAAAATACTACAGATTCCCAGGGTGATAAAAGCAAATTCTAAATAAATCTTTACTTTAAAGCTTCTTTAAAACAAAACAGGGAAATGGATTCTCTGTGGAGATAATGACACATCACTTCTCTTGAATTTTATCCATGCCATCTCTAGGAAGGCAAAACAATGGCTGTCACTGTTCTTGTTTTCTGTAGTGTTAAAAGAGGCCGGTGGGTAAGATTATCATTTTTATTGTATCATATAGACCTACTATAATATGTAGGTCTATCTGATAAGATGTTTCAGAAATGTTCGGTGGATTGAACATATGAACATTCAGAAATGTTCATATCCTAATTGTGTGAACGTCACACGGTTACATTCCCAGGTTACATTTCAACGCAAAGTCAATAGGGGAAAATTAAACATTAGAGTAAACTGGCACATTTCAGCACATTCCCATCTCAAACTTTCATTACTGTATTGATTTTTATTTTAAACTACATTTGGTATTTTTTTATTTTAAGAAATTAGCATACATTACAAAAATACCAATATGTATAAATATATAATTAAAAATAATAAGAATAATGAGAATTTATTTTACATTAATAAGAATATGGAGTGCTTAATTGTCATTAAAATAGATATTTTCTCCATGCAACAATTTATTTTTTATTTATTAAGATATATTTATCTTGAGACTTGACTTATTTACTTATTTTTATTTTGTGGTAATGGATCATATTTCATGAGATTCACCCCATTACATTGGTTATACTGAAAAATATATTGTAGATGTAGATGAATCAATCCCAGAGTATCTGCTCACTGCTGTGGCGGGCCTTAAAGTGTCCCTATTATTACTAATTTTCCATTGGATGTCTCCTATAACATGTCTACATGGATTCAACGTCAAAAAACACATTAATCTTCACATAATATGCTTTCCAGCATAACCTCTTTCCTCACAGTGTCTTAAATGGTTCGATAAATGATTAACCCCTAAACCCCTCCTTTTCGAGAGTTTACTCTGCTCTGATTGGTCAGATGGCCCAGTCTGTTGTGATTGGTCAACTGCTTACAGCACGTGTCTGAAAACAAAATGCCATTAGCATATATGAATTTCAGCTCTGAATCTTCTTCAGCACTTCATATACAGTGATCAATTCATATCAATTCACGCCCAGGTTCTCATCCTGTGGAAGTGCATCAAAGTGGATTTACTTTCACAGAACAGAAAACAGCGTCTTCTCGACATGTCAAAAACAAGAACCAAACTCTTCTAGGTCTCAGCTAACTACAGTGTTTCAGGGTCAAAGTAGACGTTGTTCACAAGGCAGGCCAATATATAGCCAATAAGTGGGCATTTTGCAGATTTGTTACAATCCTATATAGGCTCGAACAGGAAGTGTGACTGGAATTACTGACAACTCGTTTCAGGCAGAATCTGTTCTTTCTTTTGGGAAAAAAAATAACTACATTTATCATGCACTTTGATCTTTAAAACTTTGAAGACCTTTCACATTCACAAACCTCTATATTATCCACCGCATGAAAGGTAAAATCAGAAAAAGCATAATAGGGGCACTTCAGTGAAGTTTGTCCTGATAAGTCGCATACATGTATTATAGAAACAGGTATGAAATACTGCACTCACATCAACTTCTCCTTGATCAATCACATAGAAGTTGTCTCCTTCATCACCTGAGAAAGAAATGAGAAAATCGTGAGTTTATTCCAATCAACCGACCTCAGAGAGAAGACTACAGATACATAACCCTTTTTCCATCCTGTTTTTGCTCAGTAGTGTAAATCTACATAAAAAAAACTGAATATACTCTACCATTCAAAAGTTTGGGGTCGGTATTATTTTAACTATTATAACTCACTATTTTAAATCCATTTATATATGAGCAAGAAGTTAATTCTGCAAGTCCCCACAGATAACAAAAATGGACCAAAACCCACAAAACTTTTTCCCAATTTAATTTCATGGGACCTTTAAATTCAGGACGGAAAGAAGGAAAAGATAAATAATTTTGTCTCTTTCCCAGATTCCATCCCTTTCCAACTCCCAATTTCCCAAGAACACATCCGTGCATTTCAAAGATAAAAGATGGCACACCACTTTAAAAACGTCACCACCTCCCAAGACAGTGTCATCTAAATGATTCCCAGGCTTCATCCTCTACACCCCATTTGAGAGTTTAATGGACGGTTGGGCGTGCCAGAAGCCACAGGCTCTGATCAACATTTCCAAGTTAAAGGCCATACATAAAGCATTTCTGTAGGTTCAGAACGTCTTTGAGGTTTAAGTGTGTGTTGAAGTTGGTGTTTGGGATCCTGGTAGCAAGTGTGTGTGTGTGTGCGTGAGCCGAAGAGTTAAAAGAGTCCGTGATCCGTGCGCTGCCGAGTTCATGCGGGTTCACGGGGCTAATTAACACCGAACACACTAAGCGCTCGTAAATCACACAAGCAATTTATCTTAACACACTCACCGATCGCTAGTGCCCTCTCCCTCTCTTACTAGCCGTCTCTCTCTCTCTTTCAACCCATCCAGCTCATTTTTCTTAGTATTGTTCCTGTCTTCCTGTCTTTTATCACCTCTGCTCTGAAGTTTCTGTTTTTTGGCCAACAGATCCTTGAGTCACAGAGTGCAGTCAAATATTTGACAAGAACAAAAACACACACACACACACACATGCACACTTCTACACACACACAAACTTTGTACATTCCTAGATCTACTTTTATGGGCAATCTGTCCATGTGAGATAAATGCTTTGAAACTCTGTTTCAAGAATTGCATTGCACAGAGAATAAAATCTCAATTGCTTTATGAACTCCACATGAAACCAAAAAGAGCTCATTGTTTGACTATAAAAAAAAAACAACTCATCACCGTTCCTTCTAACTAAAACAATCTGCAATGCATTTGCACTTTTGATAATGATTTCCTTAGGTTTGCACTCTTGAATTTTGCACTGCATGCACTGTATATGCACTGCAAGTACATAAGAGTAATGTAACATTAAATAGAATTGAAAACATGACAGGTACATGACCACAGACACCTTTAGCTACGCAAGCTCTTTATGTTGTGCAAAAGGAGTGTATCATAATAGGATCACTTAGATCATAGTACAATTATTCCCCACATGTTATCATTAACTAATCTTAAATAAAATTCTGCTCCATTTAGATGATAAAAATTTAAAAAATTTAGCTTAGCTTTATTTATTTATTAGCTTTAATTCATATTATGCCTTAAAACAATATTTAAAATCCAACCAATAACTATTTCCTACACTGAAAAAAATAATATGCTTTATCTAATCAATAAAATTGTGGCAACATATTACAAGCAATATTATTAATTAAATTGTACAAATTAGAATTAATTAGACTATTAATTTGATTAACTATTACTCAATTCTAATTTGTTCAATTTAATAAATAATATTGCTTGTAATCTGTTGCCACAATTTTATTGATTAGATAAAGCATATTCATTTTTACAGTGTACAGTATTTCTGTAATTATGGCAAAGTTGTGGAAACTAATGGAAACTATGAGTGTTGATATATTAATTGACAATCCATTTTGGATGTTTTCTGCGTGTGCGTGTGTGTGTGTGTGTGCAGATTTGACTATGAGCTCCAAAATGTCCTCATTATTCAAAAATGTGAAACCTAGTGACTCTGACATCCTTTTTGGCACAGGTTTTGTATATGTTTTATGATAGTTACTGTATGTTTAGGTTCCAGTTGATAGAAATTGATATCCAGTTGATATCAATTATCCAGGTGATAGAAAATAACCTGATATAAAAACAATAGGAGTCCTCATTGATGTCCTTACTAATATAGTGTGTGATAAACTACAGGTGTTTCTATACTGTACCTTGCTGGATTACCGTTTCCCCTGCGATGTGAGTGACTGGGAACATGGCATCAAATATGTCACTGTGGGGTAAAAAAGAGATACATTAGATTATTCAATCATTGGTAATTCAAAAACACAAATACAATACTCTGAGTTTAGTTCAATAGTAATATCAGTGTTATCTTTACAGCAGGAATACCAAGTGTCAAGTGCATGTGTGTAGTCACAGAGATCAAACGCAGCACGGCCATGTCAAAGCTACTGTATCACACACTTATTTTCGCCATCTCCACAGAAACACACGTTTTATAAAACTGTACAAAAGACAACAAACAGTAAGTGCTGAATCTCTGCTCTTCAAGGCACACACCCTTGAATAAGAAACAATCGTGCCTGTGTGAAGGCAAAGAGTGTCGTTAGTGTTACAAGTTTATGACACTGATAATGCACTTCCATTCTTTGTCTTTTTTCGGCAGCTTCTGGTGTGTCAGTCAATACACATGACCCCTGACTCTGTTCCCACAATACACCTCTCCCGTTACTGCTGACGGCTGGAAGCAGTGTTTATTCGCTTGTGCTGCTGTTGTGTTGTCATTGCCTCTGTCATTGTGTTTATGCCATGTTTACATGCTGAGTAAATATACTTGACATCTCCTCAACAAGCCGCGTGACTTGAGGAATCCGTTCATGTCTGAAACTCAAAAAGTGTGGGATGAGTTACTAACAAGTGTTGTTTTAGTATTATTAATAAACTATGATAGTATTCATTGATATTCTGAATTATAATTTTCTATTAGATTGGTTATATTTTGCTTTAAAAAAACATTTAGCTTGTTTAATTCTGAACTATTAACAGCTTTTTCAGTTTTAGTTATTAAAGGAGAAGTTGCTGATAATTTACTCACCCCCATGTGATAAAAGAAGACATCTTTCTTTCTTCAGTTGAAAAGAAATTAAGGTTTTTGATGAAAACATTCCTTGATTTTCTTCATATAATGGACTTCAATGGGAACCAAACGGTTCAAGGTCCGAACAGGAGAGTCACAAACGCGAACAGGTCGAGCATTTGAGCTTATAAAACGTAAACATTTATATATATATATATTTTTTTTTTAAATGACCGACCGTTTCACTTGATAAGACCCTTATTCATCGTCTGGTGTCGTTTAAAGCCCTTTGAAGCTGCACTGAAACTCTCATTTGGACCTTGAACCGTTTGGTTCCCATTGAAGTCCATTATATGGAGAAAATCCTGGAATGTTTTCATCAAAAACCTTAATTTCTTTTCGACTGAAGAAAGAAAGACATGGACATCTTGGATGACATGGGGCTGAGTAAATTATCAGCAAAAGTTTTTTTTAAAAGTGAACTACTCCTTTAAGTACTTCTATACTTTGATATAACTCAAATTTAGTAATTTAACACTTTAAGGTATTCTAAGAAAGTTTTTCATCTAGTATTTAACTTTATTTTATTTCAGATTTTAATAGTTGTAGATTTAATTTTAGTTAAACAATGACAACACTTTGAGTTGCATGCCAACAAACTGAACAAACCCCAAACCCATATATTACCAATAGTGGCATTAGCAAACACCACTAATAAAGCAACTAAGGCAGGGTCTAAAATTAACACTCGTCAGGCGCCAAATGAGAGTAAAAATCGGTGTTGGCGAGTATATGAAACTTTGTCAATTGCCAGTTGACCGGTATCATTTTTATGAATTATAAAAAATGCAATATTGTGAGAACATGAACGTGAACGACGCTCCGGACAGTTGATGACCCAGTGCTGAATCGTCACGAAAGTTCAAGTCTTGCCAATCAACTACAAGCAGATGCGAAAGAAAACTTAAAAATTGTTACTGTGCGCAAACATCTGAAAAGCACTCACTGCTCTAGACTGAACAACCCTTTTAACATTAAATATTAATCTGTTTCACGGCTGGTAAATAATATTTATGGCCGGTAAAGTCACAGGCCATTGGCAGGTGTGGCAAAAAGTTACTGAACTAAGGCAAACAAAACATGTAGGAACATCAAGCGGTTGTTAAAATAAGTTCCTTTGAGTTCATACTTGTGAATATAAAAGTAATTGCATGCATTGTACTTCAGACGAAACAGTAATGCAATGATTAGAGGCATTGAAGCTCATATTCCAGTCTTGAGAGCAAATAATGGAGCATCTGGTAGGTGGTCTTCAGTCACAAGCACTTGGTTTTAGAAGTTTACTGAGTTGTAAAGGATGTTTATTTAAAACGCTCCACCACGAGAGAGCTCTCATCAGTTGTCTGGCTGAGGGGATTCCCCGGCACTCAAACCCATTCACAACCCCGCGGCGTTACGAGACTTACGATTTCAGAGGGAGATGACAATGACGGCTCCCTGGAGAACTCAACCGCGGCTATTTCAGCGAGGTAAAGTGGTTAAAACAGCGCTGCGAGTGCCTAATAAACGAACCAGGATGGTTAAGCTCAAAGTATGATGTCACGGAGTATGATGTCAGATGGAGGAAAGATCAGAGGAGAAGTCTTGAGGTAAAGGGAGGGGAAAGGGACTGAGAAGGTGGCCGGTGATGAGCGGTGGTGGGATCGGTCTTGAATTTGAGAAAGGAGTGGGTTGGAAGTGTTTGAGAAGACTGCAAGGAAAGTAGTTCAACTAGTGGCGCTAGCAAACGACAAGGTCACGGGTTCAATTCTCCAGAAACAAACTACTGGTTCAAAAGTTTGGGGTCAACTTCTTTCTTTTGATCCTGAATAAAATGCATCACTTATCACAATATTTGTACATATCCAATATCTGGACATCTGACCTATGTCTAAACATGTGTAGCGATTGGATCATTCTAGTTAGGGAGGGAGACTGACGTAAACACAGACATCGAATATGAGTCATGCCTTGTGAAAGTAAACAGGAGAGACAAAAAAAAATTAATAAGTTCAAAAGACTGGATTATGCATAAATCCTCCAAAGTCTTGGAGATAAGCAAGCACATATTTAATAACCAATGCTTATTTCCAAGCCATAAGTTGAGGGAAAAGCTGGTGTTCCCACAAGGTTATTTTAACCAGCAAGGTTTAAGGCATGGTCAAAAAGACCATACTGGATGACTATATTTACAGCTGGGTCCACCGGATATACTGGCACTAATGTGCAAAAACCACTCTGGACCAACATAATCAGGGTTGCTGCAGGTTTCGCAAAGTCAAATTTAAGACTTTTTAAGACCCTTTTAAGACCATTATGAATGAAATTTAAGACCTATTTCACAAAAAAAGAAAAAAAAAACGTACAAAGGAAACGCGTAACGATACTTAAAATTATTCGCAAAGTAATTTAATTTATTTAAACGAAATAAATCAGTACAAACTGTCCTGTGATTTTGGAAATTTGTTCAGTTATTGTTTTTATAAAATCCCTCTATTCCAAAGTGCATAATGTAGGCCGAATTTGACTCTAATCAAAAAGCAAAATCCAAATCAGCAAAATCAGATCCTAAATTCAGATATTTCAAACCAAGTATCGCTGAAATTCCACGTCCCCATAGCTGAATAAAATCCATTTTATGTCTGTCTGTGGTATCTGAGATACCCGCCAATAACACAAACCCTCAAAACTGATTGGCTGTTGCATGTTGGTCTATTTTGTAGTCGTAATACAGCGAATTAAGAACTACAACTACGTAATATAAATAAATAAAAAACCCATTCCAAAGCGCTGCGGGATTAACATGGACATAGGAAAATTAAAACCCGTTTAAGACCTAGAACATAATACTTCAGCAAATTTAAGACTTTTAAAAGGCCTTAAATTGTGATTTTGCAATTTTAAACTTTTTCAGACTGTTTAAGACCCCGCGGAAACCCTGATAATCTAGTGTTTTGAGCAGGGGAAGGAATTAAAAACTAGAGACGTAGACAGCAACATGAAAGGGAACAGGTTTTCGTCTGAACCTGTCTACAAACGTGCGGGAGGAGGAAAAGTTACTGAGTGAAAACACAAGTTTTGAGGGGTTTAGAAAGAGATTAGAGGGGAGAGCGGGACACATTGAAGAACACGAGACGTGTCAATGTGGATGCTGAAGACACCATGTATGATGTAGTAGAGCGTAGTCTACTGGGAAAAGCCTGAGTGAGAAAAGTATTCAAAGTTCACATTCAAAAACCACAAACTGATTGAGTAAAGTGACGTTCACTGCTGTCAGTGAATCAGCAACTCATCACCTGCTGGGTGTGAGAGAAGACGTTTTGTTTGATGACGTACCACCAATGCAGAAAAATACACTAGTATTCAAAGTTTTTTTTTTTTTTATAGTTTTAGAATTTAATTAATGCATTGAATTGATAAAAAAAATACAGTAAAGGACATTTATAATGCTATTTCTATTTCAATGAAACACTGTGCTTTTGAACTTTCTAATAAAAATAAAACATCACGGTTTACACAAAAATATTAAGAAGAACAAAAGTTTTTAAGATTAATGGTCATAATCGAATTAACAATTTAATTTACAGCGTCTGCACAGCAGTCTTTAAATGACTGTTTTCATGTGCATGCGCGTGACCACAAAATCTAATGAGGCTCCTAAATCATCACCCCCTCTTTTCTTCTTTAATTGATTCTCACACTTTCAAAGGGAAAGTGTTAAAAGCACCAACATTAGGTCTCTTTTATTTGTCCACACAAGCCTGAGCCTGCCTTATCCTCGTAAACGTCAAGAGAAAAACATCAGAATGCAAAGGAACAAACTCTTTAACACATGATATCAACATTAAAATGTGCACTTTGCTTTAAGGCAGCTGAGGTAAAGAATGTTTTGGAGCCCAATGAGAAAAAGTCAGGTTAGAAACAAAATTAGGGTGAGCAAATGATGTGAACTCTTGCTTCAACACTCGAATGACGTCATTTTTACTTAATCATCAGTGAAGTCACATCAGAGGAAGAGGAATGTCTGGTTTAGAGCATCTGATAGTGACACTTAAACCCAGAACGTCTGCATGTCTTCTGGGTGTTTATGTTTCATGTACTACACACTCAGTGATAGTTCACCCAAGAATGAAAAATTCTGTCATCAATTACTC